ATTAACATGCATTTACTACTTTTTTGTCAAATATTTTTTTTCATTCTTTTTTCTTACACGAATGTAATGAAACTCCATTTTACGCAAGAACTCTTCGTATGAATGATGAAGTATGTATATACGCGCTGTAATAATTAAGCAGCGTCATGCATCATGCCGAACGCGTATCTGTGAAATTTTCTAGGCCAAACGAGAGCGACGTTTCAGGCGGTCATATACGCGCATGTGTCAGTACGGTTGACATCGTAGAGTTTGACGGAAAATCCATGACGAGGGCGAGACATAATTACGGTGCGCGCCTTGTCATCGAGCCGACGAGGGCGGAGATCGTCGTCGTCTGTTCGACGGATGTCCGCGCAATGTCGAGTCGGGTCAGCTGGCAATGTTGTACCGCCGCCAGCTCGTTAGAATGAAATGAGCTCTCAGGTAAAGAATGGTAGCAGGGAGAATTAACTCTTACCACGAGACGGGTAGTTGGATCGTGCAGAAAAACCTGCGCGCGCCAAGTGTTTTTGCCGTCTGCGAGAGATCTTATTGTCCCTTATAAAACCCGGTTAATTGCTAAAGTCCGGTGCTCGTTAAAAATGGCGCATTCCACTACTACAATTATGTCGTCATCGTCTCACCCTCCTCTTTCTATTCTTGCAATAATTGTATATTAATTATATAGTACAAAGATAGAGATTTTTTGCCAGAACTCGAAAGAACTGGAACACGTTTTTGGAAAAGTCTCGCATAACGATGAAAATATGTTCTCGCGTTCATATTTTTTTAAATCGATTATCTCTCTTTTTTTTACATTAAAAGCAAACGATCTATATATTTTATAATAATAAATATATATACACGATTCTATCTTTATCAATCGTTAAATTCTCTGTAATAAAAATGATATTTAAGCTGTAGCTCTATAAAGATCGCTTTTTTTAATTTTTTTTTTTTTAGTAAGAGGATATAAACGATAAGTAAGTTTTTGATGGGACATGAAAACGAAGAGAGATAGAAAAGAGTTTTGTGTCGACCGCGGGGACATTTCCGCGAACGTTTTGCCAAGCGGCTCTTGATAAAATGAACGCTTTAATCACTCCTCGATTATCCCTTCACGGATGAAATTTTAATTTACGATGCAATAAAGTTCCAAAGAGTCGTGCTCGCGCGTGCAAAATTCGCTCGCTTTATGCGCTCTCAATTTGAAAGTTTCAGTTTGACCGTTAAGCCTCCGGAGGGAAATGATGGGGTGGAGGGCAGCAATTGGAGTGGGGGAGGGATAAAGGGGAGAGGGGTCAGAGAGAGAGAGAGAGAGTGGAAGGAAGAGGCACTGGAACAAGAACTGTGGAGGAAAGTGCGGAATGGCGGGGAACATCGTATTAAATCGGAAGATTGGAATTCTAATTAATACTCGCGGATTATCGATAAAGGGGCACGAGGAAATCGGGCACGTTAAGGGGTAAGAGAGAAAGGGGGAGAGGGAGAGATGGCGGAACGATGACTCGTTCCGTTCGTTTCATCCTTCGCGCGTCTTCGACATTCGCCTTAATGTCTTCCCTAACCCACCCCTCCACAAATGGCACCGCCATTGGAATAGATTATATCGTAATGAAAATCTTGACGTTTGACGTCCTGCAATTGATGACTTTATATTACCGTCGATTTATTGAATATCTTGCGTACCGATGCATATTCCACGTCACGTTTGCTACAGACTAAAATGAATTTTAATAAGCTAATTATTTATAGGAGCCTTTATTAAAGAGAATGTTGAAAACGTGCGTTTCAATTTTATTCATTTTTTATATTTTGTCAATATCCCTAACATAGACCAGAGTGTCCAGCAGACTCGATGAAAAAAATTCCCTGATTTTTTCAGATTTTCCAAAACCAGAAATTAATTTTTTCCCTGATTTTTTACTATTATTTTTTCCAAATATATAATTTGCATATATCTATACGATAAATCAATTAAATGTTAAATCATGAAATTCTTGAAATATTTTTATCTACAATAAAAAGGTTCGAAAAAGTTAAAACAAAAATTTAAATCAATTAATTACGTACGATAATCGAAACAAACATGTCACTATAAACTATTTAAATAATCACCTTTTATATTTATATGATATCAAATATTTTAGTTTTGTTTCTCTATCCGAACACATTGAAATAAAATAACGCGACGATAAAAATATAAATTAACGAACACGCTGTAGATGAATCGATTTTTAACGACACAGGAAATTAGCGTGCTGGGAGTTAAGGAAAAGTTTATATTGATTTAATAAAAAATTTCAAATTATTGAGACAAATGTAGAATAATATGAAAAAATCCAGATAAATAGTAACATTTCCTGATTTTTTTCACTGACAATTCCAGATTTATCAAAATCGGTTTTCGAGATTTCCCTGACCGCTAGACACCCTGAAGACGTTCAGAGAATCTTCTGAATATCTTGTGCTTAGGGATTGCATTGCATATACATATATACATATTTTTATTTTAAATCAGACGTGCGTTTTCTAATTATATATAAATCTATTATCGATACATTAATATTACGTAAGATACACGGAAAAAATACATGCTAATTTGGAAAATTTAGTATAATAAAAAAAAATATCAAGATTTTTATTTGAATATCAGTTTTATTTTATTTCGTCTGCTTTGCAATGTCATACAATTCAATTCGAACCGCTCTGAATATCTTTTTTCACGCAGTTTACCCTGCCGCTACTATAATACAGGAAAATGCGACATCATGCGTGTCGTGAATTCTTTCCGCGGATGGAGCGCGTTTGGCAACAGCTGTGTATAATTTTTCGAAACGGATACGGAATTGCCGGAATGTGCCGTACGTCACACATCCGAGAGAATTAGTCACGCGCGTGTATTTTTGGCACGCGCATTCCATTTCCATTCTTTTATCTCGTTGCAAACAACAAGATTATATTCTAAAAAAATACATGTTGTTAAATAAATTGCGTTCTATAGTTTAGCGAGCTATGATTTCGCACATCAGTCGCACAATGTCATAAAGAATATACTTTGACTATTATTATTAATTATTAATAAATTGATATTAATTTTTTTACTGAAAGAATATCGTCAGATATTTTATTATGCATCCATGTTATGTATAAGAGAAATAGAGATAAATTTTTTATTTCTCTCTCGAGAAGTTAAACGTATATCGCACACTTTGTCGCTGCTCGGTATGAAAAAAAAACTGTCGGCGCCTCTCGCGAAATTGGAATGGGAGCGCGAAAGAAGACGAACCGCTTTCTCGCATCGGGCATAATTCCCGCGTAATTCACTCACAGCCGCGAAGGGAATATTTACAAATGGGATTTAAATCCAGAAGAGACGACCGCGATAGCCGCGGAATATCGTTTGCCGACAGCGCGGCGGAAACTGAGGGGGTTGAAAAAGGGTGGAAGAGAGGACGGATGGATGGAGACGCTTAAAGTGTAAATAGGAGGCGACTCGTGCCAGACAAAGCGTTTTCTCGACTTTCTTCTCCCTCTCTCTCTCTATATTTCCCGCCTCCTCCTCGTAGCTATAAAAGGAAAGGACATAGACCCTTCCACGATTACTACGAGCCTGGGAGTCGAATCGAGAGTCGGCGGAAGTGGAATCCTGAAATATTAATGTGACACCAACCTTCGTCGTACGCCAATCCTTACCTCGCCGGCTCCTCTTGTTCGTTTTCTTTCTTTCTCGCTCTCTCCGGGGTCCGGCTTTTCTTTCTTCTCACGTTCGCCCTTGCGCCACCTTGTTGAATCATATACCACCCGCGTCGGCACGTTGGCCTGGCACGATTCGGAAAAACAGAATGTGTATACGTATATATATTACATAGGGCACACATACATTTGCGCGCGAGAATGTTTTCATGTGAACATCAGTTCGCTCCGTCAAGTAGAAGAAGCTTTAATGTAACATCGTCGAAATTGATACACGAATAGTTTTGATAGAATAAATGTTATCGATGGACAAATATTTTTTAATATTTTGTACAAGCGCGCACTATTTATAACTGGTTTTTGCAAATTTTTTTTTTATTTTACCCTAAAAATGAATACAGGAACATAAACATGAATTCTGTTTTATTCAAATGCGAAAGATACGATAGCACTGGTAAAGAGAGCAGATTTAATATATGTACTGTTATATGTGCACGCTTGAAAATCGGAGAAATATTTTATCGGCATGTATATTAACAACTTTCCACGCAATCGTAGATAGCAAAACATAGACTTTCTGTTTAAATGTATTGCAATTACGTGTGCGATTCCGACTATTTCGAAAAGTTATACCAGTTTAACGCAGTGACTCTATTTAATCAGACAACACATATTGTTCGTTATTATTTGCAGTATATCACAAAATTCCGTGCTTTTGTCAGCCTTTATTAATAAATAGCTGAATAATTAATCTAATCTGTAAAATATGTTCCATGTTTTCAACGAGAATTGATTTTATGACAGTTGAATCGAAAATTTACATTTATTTATTAATTCACGAAGAGAAGGAATTTATTATAACATATTTTATACAAATCTGGTTAAACATACATAATTGATTTTTGACTGTATCGACTGTATAGAATTGAAAAAAAATATGTATCATTTACTTGTTATCATTTTTCTATATAGTGATTTTGTTTAAAAAAAAAATGATTAATTTCGATGTCATCCTTTGCAGATACATATGTATATTCTCTTGATTGTACAATATCATCCTGTCAAGCGCGCATGATCGACTGCAATAATGAATATTTCCGTACTTTATCGTATAAATGATGCAAGATACAATTAATTACGTGCCGCGTAATCACAATTAATTAACTGTGACAATATGGCCGATCTTTCTATACATGGCAAATGACATACTTGCAAAATATATATACATATTTATACACATAAGTGTATATAGCGCATGTATATCGCGTATTATCACATTGACTTGCGACAGCTTCTAATCACACTGATATTACCTTTTTCAGGAGGGCGAGAGAGGGTATTTGGAGGGCCTCGCTTCGAGGTACGCGGACCTCTTCAGAACACATTACGGAGATGTTTTGGAACCGCTCGAGGAGTTACGTCGGCGAGAAACAAACGCTTCCGCCAGAATGCCCAACACTCAGCTCACCACCAGTCATTCACAGCCCATTTATGTGCCGGGGAAATACTCGGTAAGCAAAATCTCTCATATTCGCTTTTACTTTTGCCCACTCCTTACACCCTCATACACCGTCAATTCTCTCTTTATTGCTTCCGCGGGCAGCATAATGCGGTTATAGGATGACATATAGCGGCTTGTCTATCGCCGCGATTTCTTCTTATTACGCCATTCCCCTGACACTTGGCCAAATTGCTTTCGAAGGGACAGAATTCGCGAGAAGAACACGTCCAGTTGATTCGATACGAGCATTTGTGCACCTCTTTCTGATGGATAGAGACAATTTTGTTACGAGGAAAATTGTCAGACATATATAGACATTCGTTTATATCTATAAAATACAAACGTTATATTTATAACGTATTTAAAATTGTGTTGCAACAGTTTTTACATTATAACAAAATTATAAACATATGTGCCGAGTGTTTAAAATAATGATTAATGCAACTGATGAAAAAGTCATTAATGAATCACAGGATCAGGTGTATATATAGTAAATAATATTTTAAATGATATTTTTTCTACTAAAGGCATCATTTTATATATATACTTGAACGATGTACTCAATGAAAGAGAGATTTAGCGAAGAATGATTTACGGAAGTTCAAACACTTTGCATTTGTGGGTTCGTGGCTCCTCCATGAGTAACTTCCCAAAGTGCTTTAAGGCGATTAACCATGTAGACTCTATCGATCCCAGCTTAAATCGGTTATTGTTCGTTACCCCAGACTTTCTTCGCGTCTAATCGAGTTTTCAAGCGCGAGAAATCGATTGACGATTAAGGTCAAGCTCCTCCAAAGATCGTATGTCGATTTGGAAAATTAATAAAAATCATTTACTTTCCGGAATATTACGTCTTGGTTAAATGTGAATACGATTGTTTGTTTTGATTAATTCAATTAACTGATTGTGAATATCGCATTTATTTACATCTCTCGATATATTTTTATAATTTGCATATTATTAAAATATATAATTTAACAAAAATTGATTGCAAAAATAATATTTTTTAAAACATAATTGTGGTTATCAATTATCATTCTTAAAAAATTTATTTTATTTTTAATAAAAATCTTTAACAAGATCTGATTTTGCCTCATCAAAATTTGATTAAATAATTTTTTTGCACAATTTTTCAAATCAGAACTACTAATCTAAATTTTATATAAATTAAATAAAGATTATTTTTATATGCATTTAAATTTTCGAAATTTATATGAAAACAATATTATAAAAATATAATGTATATAAAATTATACTCAATCATGAAATAAAAAATTGAAACAAATTTATCATTTATATATAAGAGACATTCGATATAATTGGAAGATTTTTTCGGAGAGAAACAGGGTTTATCGTCCCGAAAGACGTGATTAGACTGACCCTCAAGTCCGACTACACGATCTCTTTTCTCACAAAATTTCGTGGCACAACAACACTGCCTCCAATGTAACGAGTTCTTAATACGACCCCCGAGGCTCCTCCTACTTACGACGTAAGTGGTAGTCCCGTACTGCTTCGCAAGCAAAACCCGCCGTTCTGTATAAGGTAGTGGAAAAGAGCGAACGTTCTCCATTTTTGCGCAGCCCTCGAGCTGCCTCAGCGACAAGGAGGAGGATGAAATCTATGGCTTCGGATACGGGGTCTTCAGCAGACAGATGCTCCAACATCGACAGCAGAAGCTCGCACTTGCCACACAAAACACGACTGCCGCCGTAACACCGGGTGGACCTCAAGCAACCTATCAAAGGTAAGGAGACACACGTCGATATCTGTATATTGCAACAATTTGTTCGCAAATGTGTTCAAGTAGACAGTAATAAGCATTTTTTGAACTATCTAAAAAAAAACGACACGAGCAGAGCGTGCAAAATATAATCTATACATATGAAGAAAATTGTATACTATTTCTCTCTCTCTCTCTCTCTCTCTCTCTCTCTCTCTCTCTCTCTCTATGTGTGTGAAAAAAAGGAGAGAGGTAAAAGAAACAGATAAAAAATTAGTAATTAAATTGCAGAGAGTAATACAGTGATTAGGCATAGTTATAATGTAGCGCTCAGAAAAATCAGTAGAATAAGTCGATATTAATCAGACAGAGTTTCCTAAAATTTTTTCGAAAGTGTGCAAGATGTTGCTATCGAATAATTCTATTTATTTTTTACAAGTTTGTATAATTTATTTCTCTGTACGTGTGTATACTAATATTTTACATAAATTATTAATAAAATAAATTAATATATATAACACAATAATTATTACTATCTTATACTTGACCACAAACTAGTTATTGCACAATATTGACGCAGCAGAATTCATTATTCTCTCGAATTGTGTCAATGATCCAACACTAAATACGTTCATCGAATACTGCAAATCCGAGAAAATAAGGCGATTTTCGCATTTGACGATTCGATTCGGATAGTCAGATAACAGACGCGCACATGGTGCGCGAGAATAATGAAACATTAATGCTAATGATTGATCCAGTTAATCCTCAAATTTGGGCATGTCGATTAATTAATCTTCCCTTGAAACAAATAACTGTTTATCGTGAATGTATCGTATATAGAATTTCCATGTTCATGAAACACGGGGGTATTTTTGTGGAGCGCTTAATATTCGATCCGTTGAATCTATAGATGTTGTGCTTTAAACGAACAACATCGATATCGAGTTCGAACTAGAGCCGATCTGGCCAATTAATTTATCAACGTGAACTTTCTCAACCTACTTTTTCTCTTATTAATATAATAATGAAAACTTGTATAATAACTTTTATATAAATCCATGCTACTATCAATCCTAGCTCGCACATTTTGGCAGAAAAAATGGGGAAAAGATTGGTAGAAAAGATAGATAGAAATTTTAAGCGAATTAAGCGGGGGTCTTTTATATTCAATGTTCCCATTTTCACACACCTCTGCACAATACGAACGCTACTCGGCTTTCCGGACAGTTCGCACAACACGACACCGCTGCGCGCCGCAGTCGCGCAGTCTGTTTATTATCCGTAATTGCCCATTGCTAACTGCTCTAACTGATCCGAAATACCATCTGCGTGCAGTCTCGTGCCGGCTGCTTGATATTTAATGGCTAATTAACCGACGAACCGAGCCAGTGAGCGCGCGTTTGGCCCGGCATTCTCGCGTACTTGCTCGATGCCGCCGCGCCGTATCGTTGTAGGAGAAACTGTGAAAGACGAGAAGAGGGTACGAGGAGAGACACAGGGAAAGACAGAGAAAGCAAATCGCATTATTAAATTCCATTATTGCGCCGTGGCCATCGACTGTTTTCGTGCACGCGCGAATAACCGCGATGCTGAGCCCATGAAACTGCTTCTCTTGCTGCCGCGATAAGCACGCTTTGCGAATGAGCACGCTTTCACACGGATCCTATTTCTGTGACTCGGCTACTTAATGTGACGTAGAATCCGAATCGAATCCATCGAGATTTTTTTCTCAGGAAATCATAAATTCCTACGACTCTGAAACGACAGACTTTCATGGAGAATTGTTGTAAATGGTTCTCGTTATTTTAAATCAGAAAGGCAGATTTTTTAATGCATATCTTTAAGGGTAATTGAATGAAGAAGAAATATAATGAATTATTCGTGCTGATTAAAAATTTTAATATGTACGCGTAAACATGTAAACCGTACAGTATTGTATGGATCTTGTTGGTACGAAATTATTGCTCAATCTAACAATAGCACTAATTTGCGGCGACCATAAAATTAATTGCTTGGAAATAACGATCGATTGAACGAAGCTTTTTGTGGATTTAATTGGCATCCTGTTGCTGTAAATAACGAGAATCGAAAGTAGCGCTCTCTTCTATTGCTCTCTTAAATAAGGAAGATCGGGAAACACAATGAGCAAAATAAAAAAAATGACAAATGATCATACAGCTACGGAAATAAATCAACAGTCATCAAGTGATTAAATATTAAAAATTAATGAAAATAAATATAAGAAAATTTAATAATTAATATAATTATCGGCGTAATTGCTTATTCAATAATCTTAATTATATTTAATTATATATTCTATTAATCTGCTCTTCTTATCACAACAAAACAACATATAATAAACAACTTGTAATAAAGTTATCAAAGCATAGGATGAAAATAATAATAATTGAAGCAGTGTTGATTAGCGAGAAGAGATTAACATCAGGACACAAATTCAATATCATATCTTTATTGCGTATCGCGTTGGAAACTTCTTTTCTTACAGAAATTTCTGCGTTCGAAGGACATTAGGCGGGGATTTTTAATGGGCTCATAAATATCATCGCAACGCTCGGCACGTTAATGCAACGAACCGAGAGAGCGCGGTTCTCCGTTGCTCACATACGCCAAAATAATTACCGACTTCGCGGTAATTTATCGCGGTGCTATAAAGCATGTACTATCGTGGTATCGTTACATGGCAGATTGTGCGAAAAACGTTGAAAAATAGTCGACGAAGTATATGTCATTCTTTATGCCATGTTACGGCCGTGATAATAGAAACAATTCCTAATGGATTCACGCCGGCTTTGATGACGATTTTCCTCCTGGAATGTCGAGTAATTTTTGTTGCTTTTCTTTTTACTTAACATTAGGCTCAGAAATACCTACAGCTTTATTAAATCTATGTTAGCAAGATTAATTTTTTTTAGAATATATATAATCAGTTTTAAATATTTTAAATATGAATATACACACACAGAAATATTCTCTCTCAATACATACATATAATAAAATATATCTTTTTGAAACTAAACTATAAGTCGAATAAAGAGATGAACCATTTTTAAAGTTTCTCATATTTTTCTCAGTTGCGTGACTTGGTTGTTTATTTCTTCCAGTGTTTCGCAATAAGTAATAAATATCTGTTCTGTGGGATCTTTCCCACAGAAGGAAGATCCCGGGATAGCAATATCCTCTGCACCGATCTTGCGTGCAACCGCTTTTATCCGTCCGAGCGCGAGAGGAGGACCGCGCGTCGAAGCGGCGAGACGATGATCGCGGAATTCATTAGCAACGCGGAGATGGATATCGCGTCCGATTGACGAATGGATCGCGTGCATTAATTATACGCGGTTGCGCACACACGGCCGGCCGTTTGTCACACGGTCGATGATGCGTTTAACGATTACCCGCGCCGATGATGCAACCGACCGGACCGCGTCACACGTCTTTCCACCGAGGATATTTGCGCGAATGCAACGTCATTATCATAATGCAGTGCCGCGCCGCACCGTCTGGTTTTTATTTTATTCCCCTCTTGGAATTTTCATTTACACACGACGTGCCGATTTGTACGCATAAACCGCACGCGTCGAGATATACAGAATTAATTAATTAAATCCTTTTTTTACTCTCGGATTTTTACTCGCGTATTTGCATTCAATTTTTTTTTTTTTTTTTTTACGCTTAATCCTGGTTGGTACTTTATTTTCAGTTTCTATATTAGTTACACCGAGTCGAATCATCCCGTATACACGTCAGTGTATCCCTTTAACAAGAGTTTTTTTAATTTGAATATACAAAAGCAATCTCTTTCAAATGTATATATACATAATAAAATTTATATTATATATATATATATACATTAATAATATATATATAAGGTTGGAAATAATTAAAAATAAAAAATCAATCGCAGCTTCGAGTTACACACGACAGATCGAACGACTTGACCTTCGTTTGCGAAAATACGGGCAAAAAGTCGGTACATTCGCGCTATAAACAATCGCACGCAGCGTGGTCATAAATTAATAAACGGACAATAACGCGGCAAAGTAAAGCCTGACTGACGTGTTGACAGCCACGGCCGATGGTCGGTTTTGTCGTGTCGACGGCCCGGCAAGGTAATCCTATCGACTCGTCGCTCGTCGCGTCGCATCGCGCGCGCGAACCAGAATGCGCGCGCTCGATTATCCGCGCCGCGAAGCTCTCGACCTCGCGCGCGCCCGTCATTCCGCGTATAATCGCAGTTTAGTCCCTTCCATATTCCGGCCCTCGCATCCGGTCGCCTACAACAATTGTTGGCCGTGTGCCGCCCATTTGTCGATCGATCGATCCTGTAGGGACAAAACAGATTTTTCGATCACACCCTTCCGTCCGCGCCTTCATCCCCTTCCTCCTCCACCTCGCCGGATAAAGCTGTCGAATCATCATGTCGTTGCTTCTCATACATATGACCTCGCGCAGGTGTGTATTTACACAGAACGCCGAACACAGAACGATTTCAATGTGCAGGATTTGAGTTCTGCGCTTATCCCGATTATTCGGATGTTTTATTATCTTCATGGCAGAGCCATGTTTGTCATTGTTAATATATTGAGGACGTAAAGATAACAGTTCGGTATATAAAAAATTATTGTGATCGTTATCGTTATGAAGATAGTAAGCTTAAATCAATTCCACGTTTTAATAAAGGACAAGATTATCGTTTTAATTCTTCCAAGCTACAAAATTCGATGTAACACACACATAATTTATTTCGATATTATTAAAGGAATTAAATCACTTTTGTGCAACCAGTTTATATTATTATCATTATGAATCTGAATTTTTTGTCATTATCCCCGGTGCTATGTAGAGATAATAGACACCTTAGAGTCTGATGTAGAGATAGCGTTTTAAAGGTAGATACATATTTATCGCGTTTTACACACATGAAAGAAATTACAATTATTAATCGTAATGTAATCTAATAATATTAAATGTGGATTTTGCGGTGGTAACGCACGTTTTACGAGAGAAATGCGCGATTATTTTTGTCAAACAAAAATAGCGGACTTTATTGAAATTTCAACGAGGAAACGTGCGCTTATGAATAACGACGGAAACTGCTATTCTCTCGTAAATTCATTCATTATTACAAATGTATCGCGCGTGATTATACTGGAATCACGTTAATGCAGCAAACCGTATACGTGCCGTTTCTATGCCGTTCTCGCCAACTGCACGCTAGATATTCGGCGTCAACCGCAGACACGTCTTTATAAAAAACATTAAATTTAGTTTGCAATTTAGTTAGATACCATTGGTCATATTTTACGCGTGTAAAATTAAATTTTCCATGTAATTTTTTGCGTACATAAAAAATTGTGCGACACTCTTTTTTAATAGAAATGTGTGAAATATGAGCTTTTTTGAAAATTTTTTATATCCTGAAATGATGTAAATTTCGAAATAGCTTATAGATAAATTAATATGAGAATAATCATGTGCACACAAAATTATAACATTAACGAATATAAAAATTAGCAGCATTAATTAATCTATTAAGTGGTCTATTATAATCATTCTGTTAGCATTTCAACTCCTTGATATTATTATTAAGTTGAGAAAGAGAATGAGAAAAGAGTTAAAAAATGTCAGAGAAAGTATAATAATCCTAATAAGATTTCAACAAGTTTCGAGAGGACTTTTATCGCGACTTTATTAATTTTTTCCGTAAAAACATTCTGTAAACATCTTATACATTTTTTAATGCTCATCTGCCGAAAGAATCGCGTGCAAGGGGCGAGAAACAACACGAGAAACTCGAGGACCCTCGTGCCTAGCTCCATCGAAGAAATTTGCATATCCGAGTGTTCTCGAGGCAGACTCGAGGTCGCACGTGTGCAGGTATAAAAACGCATAGAGAGCCTCCTCGTATTTTCCTACAGTTTTCAATCGCGCACCGAACGTGTACATACGCGATAGCGCGCCGTCTCTCGCATGCGAAAGACCATCTTACAGCCTCGGCTTATTTCGATCCCGCAGCTTCATCGGGATTTCTCGCGCGGGCGACTGTAACGTTCCAGCATCCATTTGTGTCGTAGCTCTCTTCCGACGCCTACTCGTCGTAGTAATCATGACTCTTAACAGCTCTAAATCGATTGCTACTTGGCTGGCACAGAGGTAGATTCGTCGTTACCCAAGAAAGAAGCAATCACTCCATCCGTCTGGATGTTGTAAGCTTAACGAGAAAGCAGGTCTCCAATACAGTTGTACGTTCGTGACAGACGTAATCGATTTTGCGAGGTCTCGACTAAATAAATGTTGGATTTCTATAGATGTCGAAAGTCCCGTAAACTTAAACTCTCTTTCTCGACGTTTAATCGTTTAAAGAGCGGTAATTTTCGCTTCCCTCGCTTCGGTAAATTTTTTCTTTTTTTTTTTTTACAAAATTAAAGAAATTATACAAAGAATATAGGCAACTATTCCATTAATCTCGACCTCGGTCTTTGAACGCAACGGATATTCTTCGTTTGTACTACGCTGCCGGTAGAACCTATTACGACTCCATTGAGGAGAAGGGGTCACTCAAGGCAATCGATTCGGAGATAGTGGACCATAGTGGAAGAGAGAGAGAGAGAGAGACAGGCTACCTTGGCCAGGAGTGGCCGCCCGAACGGAATTGCAACGCGCGCGCGGCGGTTTACCCGCCGAGATGTTAGCTTTTCGTCAAAGGGCCCTATTAGTATGCGGTTAGTATTACGACGCGGTGTATCAGGACACATTGAGACAACGACGCGCTATCTATTACCTATTCTCTGGCACGTGAAACCATCGAACCCCTTCCCGCGGGCCATTCCGCCGTTCCCGCAACGATTGTACACACACACACACACACACATATATATATATATATATATATAGATAGATAGATAGATAGATAGATAATAGATATATATATATATATACAGGCGCGTGTATGTGTTTATGCCGCGGTGACGTTTCTCGATTTCCCCCGACGAGTGGTTTGCTTTGTGGTCTCGATAGAATCGAGATCAACGTTGGATCAGCCAATAAGGCTATTAGCTTGTGCTCCCGACTCGACCCTTAACGTCGGGCTGGAAATCGCCCGTGTACATTCCGGCGTGATCTACCGGAAGAGATCGATCGCTCTTAAGCGAAGGATACTTGGAATACTTCGACGAATACCGTCATTTACGAAGACAGGATGGCTTCACAATGTATCGAGATGTGTATCGGGATTCATATACCTTTCCATATAGTATCATCGAGTGTGTAGGAAAATCGCATCGCGTTTCCTATTCCGTTCTAACATTCATTAGAGATATTTTTAATTACTCGTTGAAAACGACCATAGAGATAAAGAAACGTTTACGTGCTTCATTAATTTTTCTCCGACTCATTTGCAGTTGTCTAAACGTTCTCTTTTTACAGTAGAATAGAATAAAATTGCTCGTACGATCGGCAAATCGATATTTTAAAGTGTTAACAAATAGGGTTAAACGTATCCTATTGTACCCTTCTCTCGATTCACTTGTCTCTTTGTACTTTCGCACGATTTTGAACACGTACACATTTGCATTTCGAAAACGGGTCGCGGATGCGTTGTCGGATGAGAGACTGTAATTGTTACTCAATTAAATACTGCTCCATGTTGCAAATCACTTTGATCTCTTGTTTCGTTTGCGACAATCTATATATATATAGAACGAAATGGATAAAAAAAGGAAGGAATTACACAATCATTCATCGGGCAACGTATACGGTCACGGAAACCACGTATGTCGCCACGGGAAACTGCATTAACGACGTAATAATTCTACAATTTTGTCATATGGAATTGCGCATTTGTTAAACCGCACGTATAATACTGCTACCTTTGACCATCAGTATATAATTTATTGCCCGTAGGGAGATCACATCTGAATGTGCATGAAACAGAATAATTGTTTTTTTTTATTTCCATATATTGCGATATATTATTTAAAAAAATTAAAATTTCAGAGCTCTTCCGCTTTCGACATAAATAAAATTTGTAAACTGTCTTTAACGTTATTCTCACTTCATATCCCAAAGGTGAAAATTAAATTTAAAAATGACATACAATATATATAATATATTTATTTCATAAAATAATAGTTTTTATTCTTTTATCGCTTGTTTTCACAGAAGATAATCTTCTAAAGGACACTCCGCAAGCAATTTACGCTATTTTAAGCATTATACAAATGACTGCATTAAACTTGAACGAGAAGCCAAATTATACCGCTATAATACGTATTACATACTAATTAAATTGAAATTAACTCGGCAAACACTAGTAAATTCATTAACGGGCGTATAATAGTATATCGAAACGCGCGCGCCGGTTGATCAATTCATATATCAAAGGAAGTATTAAATCCCAACGAGACCAGTCACTCTATTACGTTTAATATCAATACACGTAACTTTGATGCACCATGTGTTTGCCCGGTAAACCACCGCGTGTTCCCATGTAGAACGACGAAACATCGCCGCGGGCAAAAACGAAATGCGAAGCGAAGTAGAAGAGCACCGGGCGATTTGCCAAGCGGCGTCGCCTCTTTAATTGTCAGCATATTTTAACCGTAATTTTCCTTTCTCTGTTCCAGTTGTCTGAGCCCGAGATCTGCGTACTTCTACGAGTTCCCTCCTAACGGTAAGTCGCACACATAAGTTCATTTGTCTCTTTCTCTCGCTCTCTCTCTCTCTCTCTCTCTCTCTCTCTCTCTCTCTCTCTCTCTCTTGCTTAAGATTTAAGAGGCGCAAGGAGAAAACTCGAGCTTCTCTCCGTCGCGTTTTTCACTCGCCAGGCGAAATTAGGACGCCTACGCGAATTTACAAATATGTGTTTTGCTAGAGTGGTTGCTCAATTCACGGATACCAACGAGTAATTAATTAACATATATATACATATAATTTTAATAACAAGCTTTAATGACATAGTTTAATAAAAATGTCTCAATTGTCTCACATATTCGACTTTCCATAAAAATAAATTTTATTGAAAACAAACGATAATCACTTTCCAAAGAGCACAATCATTACAATTTTACCTTTGGATTAATGAACACTCAACAGTATATAGAAAATAGACCATCTTACGCGGAGTAATTCCGCAATAGATTGAGAAAACCATGTTGAAGCTTACGAAAGGAGAACGAGCTACATCGGAGATTTGAATGCAGTATTTAATGCGTCGATCGTAGGAGACTTTGCATGATGCATGCATTCCCGTGGCGAGAGCACACGTGCATACGTGACTCGTGCTCGAGCGCGATTTTCAAGAGACGAAGAGGCCTCTTCGCTCCTTTGTGCATGTCCCTACCGATGAAATATATCTAAATGATCTAACAATGGAGACGAGACCATGAACGGACGAGACCCTTCCTCCGGTATTGCGATACTTGTTATGCGAGAATGTGCGAGGATCGTGCCACGCGCCTTTGCGGACAACCGATCGCCAAATAGCTGCAGCTGGGAGCGAACAATATTGTTGCCTCGCGTCTCGTCTCTTATACAAATCGGATAACGCCGTAAGACGCGCGCGTAGAATAGGTACTTTGTAAACCCTCGGCCATTTTCAGGCCGAGAGAAGATCGAAGTCCCTCGATAGCTTGACTCGTAGTTGTCCCGTAGCTCTTAAGCCTCTTAACCGTCACTAAGAATGATAAAGTTATTTGCGGATCCACTTACAGCGCGATGAAAAAGCTGTAGAGAAGCTTTCTATGCAAATTTCACAGCAAATGAAAATTTTATCTCAAATAGATGGAGGAGTAGATGAATTTGATCTTCTCGTAATATATTATATACCTATATTTCTGCTTGTTTATATTATAATATAGCATTACCAATCAATTTATCCGGCAACCACATCTGTTGTAGAATGAAAGAAATTCCCAAATGAATATTTACCACTATCTGATACCATCCGTGCAATCGTATATCGCGTATAAGAAATATTCGATGCTACAACTTGTATTACTTCGTGGCGCAGCCTCCTCGTTCGGGGTCCGATTTTTACCAATGAGATACGCGCTCGAAAACGTAGTTATACTACTGGTGCACATGCAATCGGCCTGGCACTTGGAAGGGAAGAAATAAAACCAAGACGCGACGTAGTGCGGTGGAATTTTTCGAGATATCGAAAAACACTTTAGAGATCCCGTATTGGAAAAGCGACCGGGCCGAAAGGTGGAAGGAGAAAGGCGCGACCGATCGCGAAACCTGAAGAGGAAGGAGGAGAGACTCGCGTTGATATTTCATTTCTATTGACTTCTACCGTCACCCTCGCGCACGTTATACTCTTTCCACCTATGAATACGTAATTGAGAGATCTAGTTCTCTCTTTCTCTATCTCTTCATACATTTCTCAATATATCTTTAGCACCGTTTTCCGCTTCTGCCTTCTTTCTATTAGAAATATGTTCGAATTTTGATATTCAATATATATTATTAGACAAATCTCATATTTTTTAAATATTTTCATATTTTCTTGTTTCTCTCAATTTAAATTTCAGCTTTTATTTTGATAAAAAAGAGAATGTTATTTATATACATATATATTAAAATTATTTTATCTGTCAGTTGCAAATATTTATATAAAATATCAATATTGCACAAGATTATTATTGTATCATACTAAAATGTTTGAACAATAAGTAATAAAAATGCCCCGCATTCGGAGACAAATTTCGCATGGAGCAATCCTCCCGAATCGCGCAGCAAATTAAATGTTTTCCTACAATTCCGGCTATTCGCTCAAATTCCAAAATTCCAACGCCCTTGCGTATCCGATGACGAGTCGTTGACACCTCTCGACCGTCTTCCGGCAGCGGCGAAGAGGCGCTCGTGAAATTCTCGATTCCGTTCCGTCCCCCTCGGCAGAGAGATACTCGGTTAAATCGCGGGAAGGACTAATCAGTTTAGGGTAGAAACGCGCGAAGCGACGCGCGCTTAACAGTAATTCCGTGTAAGAGGCGTCGATGCCGGATTGCTGCAGCACTTAGCAGTTGTCGCGTAATACACAACGTAGTGTATTCGGTGGGGACCGACCGAGCCAACCGAACCCGAACCCCTAAAGCCCCAAACCTCCGGTTCTGTGCCAGGGTTGCCGAGGATACGCAAACACCCTCTCGCGCGCACGGTTGTGCTTGCTTGGCATGGACTCTGTGAGAGAGCAAGCCTGTTTGTCTGGATTGGAATCCAAGTAAGAGGCGGACAGGGATGGCCGGCGAGACGCGGAGAGAGAGAGAAGTTGAGCAAGTACGCTTATCCCGGCATAACGCGTGCAACTGCATCCTCTCTAGGTAGTAATGCGCGCTCGCGCGCTACATCGCGCCGGGATGAATGGTAATGAATGCATCGTACGTTTGTGTGCGCCGTATGATGAATTCGGAGAGATGTCACGCGCGCTCTGAGCCAGGAATGACCAATGATCGCTGAATCTGAGGAATTTCTAAAGATGATATCTGCATACTTGAAAATATATATCTCGAGAGAAGGCCTTTGCTTCACAGAGCGGTTTGGAGAATTTTTCCACTGATGGTCTACAAGTAATTAATGATGGAATTATTTGAAGAATTGCTTCTCGTAAACGATATCACGGGATTGTTTGACTTTCGGGTTGAAAAAGAAGAAAAAATCGAAGGAAATTGCTGCGCCGCCGTTGGTTTCTCTAGAACAATGTTTACGGATTATTGTAACAAGATCAAACAAGTACATTGAATTTTCTGTGACGAAATGCATCGTCCGTACGGAATCCCGTTAGAATGATGCGTTTATCCTTCGTGCAAGTGCATTTCGCCAACGTCACGTTCCGCTTACTGTGACGATCGCATCGGAACCGATGATTGTGTGTCGTTGCGTTGCTTGTGCCTCGAAGCCGCCGTGAAATTCCGTGTGCGACGAGCGAACTTCAGCTGTTCAAATAAGAAATAACGATGGAACTTGGATACGTAGATATCTCTCGTATATCTTCTTTTTTCGCAAACGTGTAACTAGTACGACAATTTTTATCAGAATAGCACTTTAATTCCCCACAAAATAATGTTAAATGGAAAATGTATTAAAGAAGAAAGATATATTTATTTTTATTTATTACACGTGTTAATATTTTTTAGTTTAATTATATTTTTTTCGAAAAAATTTAGTCTTTTTTTAACAAATTTTTATAAAACATGACGTTTATTTTTTAATACGAAATAATTTAAAATAGTAATTATATAATGCAGTTACGAAAAAATAAATCAAGTTATCAATAATTTAAAAACAAAATTATTTAAGGATACATATATATTGAATTAAAGAATAAGAAAAAAAATTTCCCAAATTCTGACATTTCTTTTTTTGTTTTTTACTTTACAAGATGAAAGAAAGACTCGCAAACCCGTAATTAATAAATTTCAGTAATAGCAGTTTGGCATATATGCGAGTACAATATATCGGTTTGAGGCAAGAAATCGATTTATCCAATGTGTTGGGAAAGGTGGATATCGTGCGTGAATTGATAGTTGTTGCCAAATTCAATTGCAACGGACTGCTGTATGACAACTGGAATGCTTACTCGGTCGGATTGATTTCTTGGCCACTGATTGCTAAATACGCATCTGTGGGAAAGCAGATCTGGTCCGTCTGGATCAGAACCCTTGGATAGAGGAACCTCCGTTTGTGTATATCTCGCCGCGCATTCAATTGCACCAACATGCCGAGCTTTCATCTAAAACCCAGCGGCAGGGATTGCGTTTGTATTGCACGACGTATGGTTAAATTCGTCGTGTCGTCGCGCAAAGTTTCGTACGAGATAAAACAACGTGCGCAGAGAACAAGGATCAGCGACTTTTAAACGTTGGATCAAGGAAAGCGAGATACGAAAAAGAGAATCAATCTATAGTTTCAAATAACTTTTCAAAAAAAAAAAAATTCTCCATATAACAAGTTACGACATACGAAGTTCCACGAAATCTATAGCTTTTCTTTTTCGATTTCTCCTGTTGAAACAGATATACCTTTTCAGCTGAACTCCTTTTCGATTATTTTCCCCTCTCTTTTTATCACGAAGGATGCGTGACGAAGATCAGTCCTCGGACTTCCGTATAACGACACGACGAATTGCGACTATATTATTCGTTTTTCGCGAGTAAAGTCCAATCTAAAATACATTCGGCCGATGGTAAATGGAAATAAAAAAAGAAGGCACACACGGAACACGTTTCCTCGAACGACAAACCCAACGGCAAGGCTTTTTAACGCGATTGCTCTCTGACGGCCCGCGTCCTGGCTGTGTTTCCGTACGAGCAATTGAATCACTGCTGGCAATCAAGAGGAACTTTTGCGCAAAGAGGAAAAAGCGAGTCGCATAGCGCTCTGCAACGATTGCCGTAACGCGATTTGTCCGTCGCGATTCGCGGCTCAGTTATTGTGCTTTTAGCGACGTTACCTTCGTCGATTGGTTTTTCATCTCGGACGACACAACTCGCGATATAATAATTCGGCGAAAAAATAAAGTTCCTATCGCTCTTTTCAGAACGCTTCGTTCTAGTTTGACGCGTATCTCTACTCGTAAAGTGATATCGTTACATATCTCGGCGAAAGTGAACGGAGAGCTTTTCGTCGCGTTCTAATCACTTTGGCAATTTCGACGCTTTGATATTCGATAGC